ATAAACGTCGTTACGCTCCTAGAAAATCAATTTGTGGTTCAGGGACATCAAACAAGGGAAACTTACCGTTTTCAGGCTACCATCAAAAATTCACCCACTCGTGTAATTTGTATGAATAACCCTAAATTATGGTCTAGAAAACAGTTACAGTTAAAACCCGGAGACGTTAATTCCGGTTTGGCGAGGTTATGTTTTAATCATCAGTATTCAGCTTGATCCATCCTGTATGGCTAGTATAATAATTATAATCAAACAGAATTTAGGGTAGCACCCAGGGGAGATATTCCCGAGTTCCAGTTTTCCAAAGTTCATATGAGTTTGTCTTGATTTCTGAAGGTCTGACAATTACATGTCAAGTCTCCAGGAGCATATATCTTCGAGATTATATTTATTGACAAAATAGTTTTTGTAAACTTTTGCGATTTTATTTTTGGATTTTCCAATTCGTCAAGATTAATCCCTATCTTTTGTGCAACTGTGTTTGCTAAGAATGGACCTCTTGTCCAAAAGTCAATTTCTTGTTTCTTCTTCAACAGAATTCGTGTTTTATAGAACTTCAATTTCTGTGCTCTCGTGTTTTGTTCTGATTTGTATTGTACTTGAACAAAAGATTCCAACTCAATATTTTACCTGCCTTTCACTATGTCGAAAAATGCAAAAGAACGGGCATTTCGTGATACAAGAGAAGTGGAAGAATCGAAAACCGTTTTAATCTATCTTTATTGTCTAATCTATTGGTCTAATCTATAGTCTAATCTATCCACTTCGAAGCATTTTCCTGAAGGTTTTCCATCATTCTCAATTCTGATTTATTTGGTTTCCAAATAATTACACCGTATCAAATGATTGGGACAATGTAGCTCCGGTAAATATTCTTTTTTGCAATCCAACTTGCACCATTAGCGATGTTTCGTTTTTTAGTAAAAAATACTTTGGTTGCTTTCTCACATCATCTTTCGGCGTTTGCAGTCCATGTCAAGTCGTTCGATACAATTAATCCCAAATCTTTTTCCTTCTGTGTTTGTTCAAGTGTCTTTCCATTCATTGAAACACATCCGCTTCCTTTTAAAATTAGCGTTTTACATTTGCTGATGTTTAATTATCAGCAAGGGCCCAACCATTTCCATATTCTGGTCGCGTAAATTTGTAGAGTGATCGTGTTGGTAGCAATAACTATATAATCATCCGCGTATCCGAAACAACTTGACATGGTACAGTCTGGGAGATCATTTATAAAGATTATGAAGAACAGAGGACCCAGTACTGAGCCTTGCGGAACTCCACTTTTGACTTCGAGTTCTGAAGAGGTCGAGTTTCCAAATTTTGCTCAGTGTTTTTGACCTTTCAGGTAGCTTTCAAGCAGCTCCAAAGCTCCTCCAGTGATGCCATTTTTTATGCAATTTTTCTTTTACTTTTTCATGATTGACCTTGTCGAACGCCTTTTTGAAGTCGAGGTATACAGCAGTCAGTGTTGGAGATTCGAAGTGGTCAAATATTTCACTGAGATATAAGATCATTTGAGTCTTTGTGGATTTACATTTGGTGAATCCATTTCGTTCTTTGCAGACATTAAGTCCAATGGCTACGTATAGTTTTTCGAAAAGTATAGTTTCAAGAACTTTTGAGAGGCACGCCAAGAGCGCAATGAGACAATAATTTGAAATGTCTTGTTTGTCTCCGTCGTTAAATATTGATATAAGGATAGTCAATTTCCATAAGGAAGGGTAGACATGTTTATTACCAATTATGTTGAAGACGAGTGTCAGTGAAGGAGCCAAGTATTTAGCTAAACTTTTAAGAGGTAGATTTCCTAGACCGTCAGGACCTTTTGCTTTCCCAATACACAAGTTCCCAAGTGTAGTTTGCTCTTTCTCTCTTGTAAAGTGGAGTTTTTCTACTTTTAAAGATTTGGAGTTATCGGAGGTTCTTTGATAATCCGAATTAGTAAAGACTGATCGAAAGAACTCATTAAAGAGTTGGACTTTTTCTTAATCGGTGACAGCGATCTGATCATTTAAGTACATTTCTGAGGGAAGTTGAGATGATTTTTGAATGCTCTTAAAATACTTTTGTATTTGTGAAAATGTTCCATTTTCGAAAACTGAGTGTTCAAATTCTTTTTGATCTTCGTTCAAAAAGTCACTTATTCTTGTTTCAAGTGTTGCCAGCTTTAGGTAGTTATTCGGGGACGGTTTCTAATTCATCCATTTTCTCATTGTATTCCTCCTTTTTATTGCATTTGATGTTTCATTGCTGACCCAAGGAGGTAAACTCATTTGGTGTTTTGTCTTTTTGGGTATATGTTTTTCCAATATCTCATGTAGCCAATCATACAATAAATCAACTACAACATCGACATTGCTGAAGCAGTAAGGCAAGAAAGGATTTTGCACGATGTTTAATCTGATTTCATTCCAATTCGCTTTTTCGAACGAAAATATGCTAAAATCTTCTTTTTCAGGCAAGGTTTTCGTCACTTTGAACCAATCATTTAAACTTAGTTTGAGCTGGAATGGCTGATGATCGGATTTAAATGGTTTTTTAACGTAATTGTCTACACTTACGTTTAGTATTGAATCTGTATTGTTGACTAGAATGACATCAATATGCTTTTTAGCACCTGTGACCAATTGCTGATAATTGTGTTCAAACAAATCCTCTAGTACCAGTGCTTGGTCCAAATTTGAGGACTCCATATGATGCCAGTTTATGTTATCAAAATTGATGTTCCCCACAAGCATTGTAAGGTTGGTGATGTGATTACTACTCAGTTCGTCTAAGCATTCAATAAGCTGCAGTAGAAGACTGGGCGAATGCCTGTATGGACTGTTTTTAGGGGCACTGTAGATACAGCATAAGAGACATCTGCAGTCATTAAATTCAAGCTGAACAAGTACTGTATCAGTGAATTTTGTGACAAAAATTAATCGCCGGTGTTGAATACTATTGTGTACTGCAATAAGCACCCCACCATGCTTTGTTTGGCCATTAACCGTATTACGATCATTTCGATGTATGACGAAATTATTGAGAAAGAGAGCATTATCGGATACTTCTGGTACTAACCAGGTTTCCGTCAAGCAGATAATTTTGTAGTGATTGCAATTTGTTATGACATTTGAAAAGTCCATGCGCTTAACAAAGTCTACAAGACTCCTTACATTGTACAAAAGTAGGTGGGTACTGTTTTCAAGAAGGTTTGCGGCAAGTCATGACGACGATTCCTCGTCTTTCCGTCTTTCTTATACAATTTCAGGTCGCGAATTTTGAGTTCCTTCCGTAATATTCCAGCTTTAATCATTTCTCGGCGTTTCCTAAGTATCAGACATTCTTGTTTTGCTTCTTCAGCGTTGAGTTCTTTACTTACAAATACTAATTTGTCGTACTCCTTAAGATTGCTGATGGACAGGAGAATCAGTCGTCCGTGGAATTTATTTGCAACTCTGAAAATTATTGTCCTTACTCTTCAATGAAATGAGCATGAATGAAAGAGATATCCGATTTAATGACGTTTTTATCAATCGAATGTGAGATCACTGAAATAAAACGTATCGGACCCTATCAAGAGATAGGGTCCGATACGTTTTATTTCAGTGATCTCACATTCGATTGATAAAAACGTCATCAAATCGGATACCTCTTTCATTTCATGCTCATTTCGCTCACGGGCAAGTTTTCTAGTGCTTTCAGGCACACCTCTTACTCACATGCCTTCGGGGGTTTCGGCTTTCACGGTTTTCTTTGGCGTTGAATGTTCTGCTCCTATATGAGTTTGTTTTGGAATTGGTTGCTTTACGAAGGATTCTTTTAACTCGGATTTTGCTTTTTTATTTTCTGTTACCTCTGTTTGAAGAGATTTCAGTTGTTTATCATCTTTGGGTTGTTGAATTTTTGCAGCTGATTCTATGATCCGATCTCGCTGTTTTCGCGCCACACAGTCATTGCACAGAAGAAGTGCATTCATTCCCGGCTCTTTTACGCCTAGGAGCGCTGCATCATTTAGTGCCGTACAGCCTTTTGTCAAATGAAAATTGACTTCACAACTGAAGCAGTGAAAATTAACCTCATCGGCAGATTTTCAAACTTACGGGTTTTACAGAACTTTTGGCCCTCTTTTGCTGCATCTGTTGCAGATTTTAGACTTGTTTTATGAGACATGGCTAAACACTTACTTTGGAAAAATCCGTAACTCTCTGACAAGAGCGGTCACTAGATTTTTTTTACCACAAACTCGTTAGATATCCTGTAACTCAAAATCTGTAACTCGCTGACAAAAGCGGTCACCAGAGTTTAAGCCACAAAATATTATTACTGCAAGAAAATCCTTTTTAGAATTGTATTACAAAATCCTTAACTCACTGAAAAGAGTGGTCACTAGAGTTTTTTCAACAAACTATTATTACAGATTTGAGTCTTTGAGTTTTGAATATTCGTCGTAAGTTGGTCGGTTTTTGCTTCGATTGCTTCAATTTCTTTCGGACTTTTCGCGCTTGTCCCGGGTTCAAATAAATACGAAAATTTTCAGGAATAGGAAACAATTCTTGATCGGCAAGTTTCTTTAGCTTGAAGTTTCTCCTTCGACGTGCAGAAAGTCGTGTTTTCTTCTTGCAGATTTTTTTTCGTATCCATCGTAACGCAGGACAACGTAGAAAGTTTTTAATTCTAATGCTGAGGGTTGATGCAATCGTTTGTATAGCTGCTGTAACTTTTCACTGATGTCACCTTTTCGTGAAGCAATATCCTTTACCACGTCTACCACAGGGAGTCCAGCGTTTTTTGAACCTCGATAGATGTTTGAGGTTTCAGCCTTTGGCAGTATATGATTAATCGAATACGAGATGAGACAGTCTTCAAAGAATCAGCCAACTCTGGTCCAGTTAGAGGTGAGTCAAACTTTCGATATTCTTGAGAATTAAGTGCTCTGAAGAGAGATTTCGCGCCAAGGATAATCATTATAGGGCCACCACGGCTGCCCTCATTTCATTCAATCTTAAAAGACACTATTTAATAAGTTTATCACAACAACATAGCCGAAAAAAAATGCAACATAGCCTGACTCAACATAGCCGAAAAAAAAATTGGGTTAACTCTTAACTCTCTTCTTTTATTCTTTAATCAGAAGGTCAAGAGCATCATAGTAACCGAGGTTACAGTCAGGAGTCCCTTCATCACGTATTCCAGTCAAAATCCTTGGAATTTTTTGGATATGGAAGTGATAATGATAAAAGAAGATGACAAGTGTTTAAGTGCTTTTCAATTAAAATCGATACGGGTTACGTTTCTTCAAAAAGAAAACGCAATTCGACACGAGAAAATATAATATATTCGATTGTAATTACTGGCGTATTTACAATCGAAGCGAAGAAAAATTAGTGGCATTGTCTACTGCAGGAGAACGGGCACACCAGATACTTTTGAGGATCTGCGGAAGACAGAGATAATCGCTATAAAAACAACTGGTAGCCTTATCTCAAGAAGAAAGAGACAGAATCGTGCGGTCCTCAGAGAATATCTTCAACTGCAACAGTCAAGTGAATGGGAGTTGAAGTCACTACGGGAGGTGCTGTCCCATCGAGACCACCTGCCGGGCATTTTCTCAAGGATACGGGCCCAGACCAGGAAACCATTGCAGGGACGACTAGGAAACCATCGCAAAGAACAGATGACCGCAATTTTGCTTTCACCACCACTCCTTAGATTGGTCCTAAAAAGAAAACTCACTTGGAAACTTGTATTAGATTATCTAAAACATTTTAATAAATTTAATAGCAGTTTCCTGAGAGTTAAATTTCTGAGAAAATGTCTCGATAACGACATTATACCAGATTTTTTACGGTTTCGCGTGCCTGAAAATGATGTTTTTTCGGATCAAGCGGTGCACAGCTTCCAACTGAGACTCTTGAGATCTGAGATAAGCCAGGCAAATGCGGATAGGGCCAAGGCATCGGGTAACCTAGTAAAAGCAAAAGGGGTAGTGAGAAGGGGTATAGATGATAAGTGGTGGCCTTCGGTAATATTCTATCTGAACCGGCAAGCAAGGTGTAGTGTCAATAACCTGATAAGCCGACACAAGAGAAAGCTTGAAAAACTTTCGTTAAGACCGGATCGACCATTAAAAAATTTGGATGAAAGGTCAGTTAGAATTTTATATGAAGTGATTTCGCCACTTTGGGTGCGGGAAGTCTTAAGTTTTGTACCAAAACATCAGGTACGAGACAAAATCAATGAAATTCATGTCCTTGCTGACATTGATAGTTTTTTGTCTGAACTGAAGTTAAATAGAATACCCGGAGAAAAATTGTTTGAGATTGAAGCAGCTGCAAAGACATATGCTAAGAATGTGAAACAGACCCCCTCTGACAATCTGACAGACAGCGTAAATCTGACAGACAGCGTGATTAAGAAAATTGAAAAAGACATAAGCAAAGAATTACTCGCCATGAAAAAGAAGGACGAGATTAGCGAAGCACTGTATACAAGGTTGAGATCAACGGGAGTGCAGCCATCTAGGCTGTATGGATTAGCAAAAGTACACAAACAAGGCACACCACTTCGTCCCGTCCTTTCTTTACCTGGTAGCTCATATGACCAACTAAATAAAACATTGGCAAAGTACTTTGATGAAATTGAGGGGGCAAACATAGAAACGAACACTCAAATGGCCAAGGAGAACTTGGAGAAAACTGAGTTGGACTCTGACGAGAGTATAATCTCCCTTGATGTAAAGAGTTTGTACGCTAATGTCCCGCTCAAGGAAGCGCTTGAAATAGCCCTGAGGAGATTATATGAGCAAGTCAACCCTCCGGAAACATTTCGCAAGACTATGAAAAAACTACTGAATTTGGCAGTGAGTAAGCTACAGTGTAAATGCAATGGTTTGTGGTATGTACAAAAAGACGGTATAGCAATGGGCGCCTCCCTTGCAGTAATATTGGCCAATTTGTGGCTCAAAGAATACGAACCTGCATTAAAGAAGAAGTACCAAAATTGACTGTGCTGAGTGAGGGTAACAAGGAAGTGTGCCCTAGATGTCAGAAACAGGTGACATATCAGACAAAAGGGGTAGAATGCGAAATTTGTTTGAATTGGTACCACTTAGGGTGTGGTAACATATCGGAATCCGAATACGCAGACATTGCTGAAACAGTATGGTATTGCATGACTTGCAAAAAACAACAGGAAGCAGATCGGACTGTGAATGGTGTAAAAGTTTTTCCAAGATATGTGGACGACACAGTTAGAACGGTCAAGGGCGATCCTGGGGTAGTTCTCGAGGCTGCCAATCAGTTTCATCCAAACTTGCAGTTCAACATAGACGAACTTGATAGTAACGGTAATTTGGCCTTTTTGGACTTAAATGTCAACGTGGATTCAGCAAAAAAGGTCACATGTGGTTGGTACCAAAAACGCACTGATACCGGCACCATTCTGAATTTCAGAGGCTAGGAAACTTTGCAGTACAAAAGAAACGTTATTGAGGGGACGGTTCATAAGGTTTTCAGAAGTACCTCAACATGGGAAAGTTTTGACCAGGCATTGGAAAAAAATCGGATGCAAGGGATTGAAAATCAATATCTGAAAAATTGGTCTGTCAGGGTAGTGTTTGAAACTCTTAACAAGATTATTGAGGGAAAGAAAAATTCAGAGGTGAAGGCATCAGAACCGAGAAATGATAAATGGTTGAAAGACTCGCCACCCCTTCTTACAATGCAATATCGAGGCAATCCATCTCAACTGTTAGCTGCAAAGGTTCGGCTAATATCCGGGGCACAAATAATTTTTACAACAAGAAAATTGAAAACATGTTTGTCATCCCTCAAAGCTTCCTTTGCTCGTGAACTGAGATCCAAAGTGGTGTACAAGCTTACATGTAGTGAATGTAATTCCACCTATGTCGGCATGTCGACCAGACAGTCCGACATTTAGCCACGAGGGTCGATGAACACCGCAAAGGGGACTCCCCAGTAAGGCGGTACTGCTGAGCTGAAGTCAGAGATTATAGACCAAACAGCTAACACTCATAAGCTACTGACACTAGAGGCTTTGCATATTTGGAGGTGCAAAGCCTCTAGTGCAAATTCCACCTATGTCGGCATGTCGACCAGACAGTCCGACATTTAGCCACGAGGGTCGATGAACACCGCAAAGGGGACTCCCCAGTAAGGCGGTACTACTGAGCTGAATCCAGAGATTATAGACCAAACAGCTAACACTCATAAGCTACTGACACTAGAGGCTTTGCATATTTGGAGGTGCAAAGCCTCTAGTGCAAATTCCACCTATGTCGGCATGTCGACCAGACAGTCCGACATTTAGCCACGAGGGTCGATGAACACCGCAAAGGGGACTCCCCAGTAGGGCAACACTTGTTAGAATGTAATAAGGAGGTAGGCGGTACTGCTGAGCTGAAGTCAGAGATTATAGACCAAACAGCTAACACCCATAAGCTACTGCCACTAGAGGCTTTGCATATTTGGAGGGAGAGGCCGAAGATCAACACACGCGATGAATTCAGGAGCCAAGAATTAACACTAAAATTATAGTCTATATATAACATGGCTAATAGTTAAAAAACTGACATGTCAGAATCAAAAATATTCCCAAACCGAATTTTTATAACCATGATAGAACAAAAAACTAAAAAATCTCAGAAATTTACAGGAAAATGTTATTCATGATTACGTAGTTATATTTTGTAATTACAGTTGTTTAGATTTGATTGATGAAAAAGTTTTAGAGCCTTTCAGACATGTTTCTCATGTTTCAGATCTTTGGTTGTTTTGTAAATATTGTAAAAATTTTTATTCCTGATGATGCACAAAATAAGCGAAAACGTTTGAATTAACATTTTAGTTTTTTTTATAATATACAAGTGTTACAAATAAAAAATTTCGTCGAAATTTATTTTGTCATTTATTGTTCCGAGTACGCAAGCGGCGTTCGCAATCTGTTTGCCAGGGAGATTCTCTGTTTTAAAAAGCTGCCTGCTCTGGATCTGTGATGGGGCCGGTCGCGCCCTGAATCTCAAAAGCTAGCGGTTGAAAAAGATATCCATCATCTACAAGATCTTTATACTTGTCATTTTTTTTTGCTCTTCCACTTCAGCGGCAGCCGTACCAGGGTTACAATCAGACCCGGCATTAATCCTACAAGGAGCTAAGCAGTCTACTATCGTTACCTCCCACAAGAGCTGCCTACCGACAGCCCATGGAACGAGCGTCAAACCGTCTGGTTGCTTCTGGTCGAACCTGTAGAGGTGTCGTGGTTCTAAAACAGACGGAGTGTGAGTAGAAGATAAACTCTGCTTTATAAGGGCATTCAGGTTTGAATGCCTAGAGAATCTCCCTGCGCTTTTGAGGCAAGAAAGACCATGCCAACCATCCTGGGTAACGTCTTTTCCGCACACGCATTTATGCCGTTCGCATATTTTTGAGCCTAATCGAAGTACAATTGCAATTCTGAGTTGTTGGTTCGACAGTCAACCTTAAATTTTTGTACGGGATAAAGTTCAACCATTAGGCGCGAAATCTATCTTGGAACACGTTGAACCTTTTTACGTCCGTTGGTTCGAGTCGCAAAATCAAGTCTGCAATTTCGCTGTCAAAATCGGCTCGGTCAAACTTTTTTGGATTTCATTTTCCGGAGCCATTTCATTTTTTCCAAGTTCAAACCACTGTTTAAGCGCATCATCATAGGTTCCATCCACATGCTCCAAACCAAAGATTTTGCTCAAGGAATCTTTTGCTCCTACTGCTGAGGCTAAGAAAGCGGGTAAAACTAGTTGAGCGGAAGAAACGCCCAAGCCACGATTGGCTGCCCGGAAAACTTCTTGTAAAAACTGTTTATCATCCATTTTCACGTTAGTGACCGTGCATACCGAATTTCTTAGTAATTTGTCGTAGCGTTCCATAAAATCAATTTTCAAAAAACAAGGGCTCGTACGCAAAAAATATAGTAGTTTTGTAGCAATTTTTCAGGAGGTAAAAACCGTAATGGGCGTCTAGTTTGTCAATGACATCCGAG